TATGCCAAATGGTGTTCCAGACCATCCCTGGCCACTTTACCCATCCCACCTCCAAGGCCCCTGGAGTTAGAGAATTGAGCTTCAAGGTGGAGGGACTTCAAACCTTCCCGTGTGACCAAGTACCACAGATGGGGGGCTCCATCAGCAGACATTTACTTCTCATGGTTCTGGAGGCTTCAAGTCTGAGATCAGGGCACCAGCACGGTCTGGTTCTAGTGCCCTCTTCCTATTTTGTAGACAGCTCCCATCTCCCTGTGTCCTCACGGGGCAGAAAGGAAGCAAAGGCTCTGGGTCTCTTCTTACAAGGGCGCTCATCCTGTCATGGGGTGCCACCCTCCTGACCTCACCCACACCTAATGACCTCCAAAGGTCCCATCTCCAAATGCCACCACGCTGGGGGATAGGACTTCAACATATAACTTTTAGGGGAAAGCATTCAGCCCATACGAAGGTTATATGAACTTTTTTTGTCTTTCTGGTGAGGACTCTGAGTCACGGTGGGCCCCTGAGCGGCCTGAAGTCACCCTGTGAGGACTGGCAAGGAGGTCCAAACCTCCAGACTCATGCCTGGAGTCCAGGAGCTGCTCATTGTGGACCACACTCACCTGTACCTCTCTCTCCCCATTCCAGACGGAGCCTGTGGCTGGTGTGGCTGCCGAGCAGGGCCAGGCCGGGCCCTGCCCGCAAGGACGCCCAAGCTCTTCGGCCCCAGCGCCTGGGAGCCCGCCAGGCTCTCTCGCTGAACCTGCCATGACTTCTGAGCCCACGTCACCACCAACGGTGCCCCCCCTCCACTCCCCCAAATCTCCTGTCTGGCCCACCTTCCCCTTCCACCGGGAGGGCAGCAGGGTCTGGGAGCGTGGCGGCGTCTCATCCCGGGACCTGCCCAGTCCTCTGCCCACCAAGCGGACCAGGACGTATTCAGCGTGAGTACCGCCGTCGCCCAGGCTCCGGTGATCTTTCCCCAGGACAGGGCTCCAGCCCTAGCCTTGTCCAACCCCTGTTGTCCTCACTCAAGGACAGGGGAGCTGTGTACGGGCCTTGCAGTAACTACTGTATTCATTCATTCATTCATTCATTCATTCATTCATTCATTCATTCTTCGCTCCACTAAGATTGGCTGAACACCTGACCAGGGGATCCAGTGATGAATGGGACAGTCTCCACCCAAAAACTGCCTATAGTCCAGAAGGAATTTGTCTACCATTCACCTCTATGCAGCAGGGTTGGGGGAGAGGATACAGCGTCAGGCGTCAGGGAGGACGAGGCCCTAGTAGGTTTGCAAGACATGTTAGGTGGAGAAGGAAGCTGGGTGTTCCAGGTACCTAGGTCAGCACAGACCAGAACGGAAGCATGGTGCTGACCTCTGGTGAGGGGTGGGTCAGCTAGGCAGAGACCAGCCTTGGGCCTCTTGGGTAGGTCACTAGCTCGGGTCACACAGGGGAGGTGATTTGGGGAAACCACAAGGGAGCCTGACTTGCCTTGGCCAAAGAAGAGGTTTTTGGTTTTGCCTTAGGTAAACCCTATGCTCAAAGTGGGGGTTGAGCTCACGACCCCGAGATTAAGTCATGTGCTCCGCCCATTGAGCCAGCTGGGTGTTCCTAAAGGAGAGGGTTTAAAAAAATAAAAAATAAAAATAAAAAAAAATAAAGGAGAGGGTTTTGATGGCAAGCACTGATTGTCCCCTGTGTTCAACCCAAGGCCAGGCATAGAGCAGATGCTTAATAAATGATGAATGAGTGGATGAGTGACGAATAAGTGAATAGGATACTATGACCTCAATAGATAGTGAGCTCCCCATTTTGAGAGGTATTCAAGTTTAGGCTGGGCATTCTTCACTCTTACCACAGGAGCCCATGTAAGCCCAAATAATCTCAGGAGGGGAGGGTGCTGTGCAGAGAGGGACATTGGTTGGGAGTCAGGAGACCCACTTGCTATTCACCCTGAGAGGGCCAGTTCCCCTCTCTGGGCCTCAGTCTCCTTATTATCCAACAGGACCACAAGAGAGCATAACTGTGTGCAGTTTCTGGCCTGGGGAGGGTTTTCCACAGCCATGGGACGGGGTCTGCAGGCAGGGCCCACCCAGGAGGGCTGTGGGAGTCCAGGGAGGGGAGTCCCCAGGGCACAGCTCTAACCCTCCCACTCTATCCTCAGGACAGCCCGTGCCTCGGCTGGCCCAGTGTTCAAGGGTGTCTGTAAGCAGTTCTCACGCTCCCAGGGCCACGGCTTCATCACCCCCGAAAATGGCTCCGAGGACATCTTTGTGCATGTATCTGAGTGAGTATCTGAGTTGTCCCTCCCACCTCCCTACTCCTTGAGGCAGTGCCTCAAGAAATGCCTCTCCAGGCCTCTCCCCTGGCTGGCCGAAGTCGGTGTTCTGGCATCTTTCTCCTCCGCTTGCAGGGGCTGCAGGTGTGTGGGAGGAGGAAGAGGGCTGGAGCCAGGTGGGGAGGGGTCGCCCAGGCCCCAGGACCCCCAGAACCACTGGCTGATCCGTGGGATCCAGCATCTGGGAACAGAGAGGGCTGGGCCAGTCCCCAGGTCCTTCAGCTTGGAGGGTAGACAGATACGGGAGGGATGATGTAGGCCAGGCTCCCCGCCCTGATGCCGGGTAAGACCTGGGGGGCACCAAGCTTCTCTAGGCCTCTGCACTTCCTTTTTTTTTTTTTTTTTGCCTCTGCACTTCCTTTGACTTTCATGTCTCAATCCCCAAACAGAATAGACAGGGGGGACCGTTTCAGGTTCCCATTTTACAGATGAGAGAGCCGGAGCTCTGAGAAGGGGGGAGGAGGCCCTCAGGCCAGCCTGCAGCGGGTTGGGGAGCAGGGCCTGCTGCTGGGCTGACAATGCCCCTCTCCCGCCCACCAGCATCGAGGGGGAGTACGTGCCAGTGGAAGGCGACGAGGTGACCTACAAGATGTGCCCCATCCCACCCAAGAACCAGAAGTTCCAGGCCGTGGAGGTGGTGCTCACCCAGTTGGCCCCACACACTCCCCACGAGACGTGGTCCGGCCAGGTCGTGGGCTCCTAGGCTGGGTGGCTCATGTGTCAGGCGCCGGGCGGGCGGGGAGCCACATAGGGTAGATGGGCAGCAGCGGGCTCCAGGCCCCCCTGCACTGGCTGACCCCGTCCCCTGGGCGGCCTCAGCATATGCGTCTGTCTGTCTGTGCTCGTGGCCGTGACCGTATGCCTCCATCTCTCCTCCCCCCCAGTGCCCCATGACTGTTGTGTGAGCTGGACCAAGGGGAGGCCAGCAGACCTGCCTCCTCTGTGTCCTTGCTCTCGTTCCCCTCCCTGCCACATCCGCACAGGACCCTCTCACCCTCCTGTCCACTGAGCCTCCGAGGGCCCACGTCAGGCCTGGGCCTGGGCAGCAGGGGGCACCAGTGGGCCCGTCCCTATAAGCTTGTTCCCCTTGCCTCTGCCCCAGGCCTGGCCCAGGGACCAGACTCTGCTTCTGCTACTCACACCCCCGCCCTGGACTGGGGTCTCCCACCGTGGCCTGTACCCCTTCCCTCAGAAGCCAGGCCTGGGAGGTTCTGGGGGAGCCTCCCAGCCTCTGGCAGGGGAGAGAGGGCAGCCCTTGGAGTCAGACAGACCCCTCCTCACTGCCATGGGCCCAGCCTTCCTTTCTTCCATCGGCTCTCTCTCAGCATCCCGGAGAGGCAGGCGAGGACCTGAGGGCAGAAGGCGGTTTTGGCGTCTGGGTTTTGCCAGCCACAGTTCTCCTCCTCAGCCTGGCGATGGCTCTGCGGATTCAAGGTCGTGTCCCCTTCCAGGCCACATTGAGCCACAGATCTGCGGAGGGGTGGGGGCACATCTCCCGCAGCTTGGATGGAGCCGGCTTTGCCCCGACCCACAAACTCCGCTGATGCTCTGCCCAGGCCCAGAGAAGACGGCTGCTGAGGACCTGGTGATACAGACGCACGTCCCCTCAGGCAGGGCCAGGCACGGGCACCCACAGGATGGCCCTCAGCCTGAGACCACCAGCCATGCAGCCCCTTGCTGGACCCTCTTCCTAAAGCTGCAGTAGGACTGCTGGCCCCCAGCGGCCAGGGGCTGAGGTGTGTGTGTGTGTGCGTGTGTGCACATGTATGTGTGTTTGTGTGCATTCACTTTTGGGTGGGGGGTTAGGCTGCCCTGGGAGAGGCTTTGCCTCCATCCCCACCACACACCTTCCCAGAGAACACATCATTTGATGGGAAAAGAAATGGCAGTCTGCCAGGGACAGTGACCCTTGTGAGACCCGGTCTGTGAGTAAAACAGGGGCTAAAGGCCCAGGATGAGGGGTTATCTCTTTAGAAGGATCCTCAGCCTCACAGATTCCTTGAGGCCCTAGGGTAGAGATCAGATCAGCTGGGATACGTGCACCCCCACCCATGCTCCCAGTCCCTACCAGGTTGGTCCCCACAAACTGGTAATGGCCCCAGCTGGACACCCCACTCTGAGCTGGAGCTTCTGACAAGGCCTGAGGACTTGCCCCAGAGGAACAAGGACTCCCTGGCTTCCTCAGTAGGTTTATCGGCGCAGGTTAACTCCTGGGAGCCCCCAAGACTCCCTCCTGTGAGCAGACCCCCCCCATTTTTAGGTACTAGCCAGGAGATAGGATGTGGCTGCCTAGGAGGCAGAGGGACGGCAGGCTCCTGCATACCCACAGCCCCACAGTGTCAAGTCCGAAATCCTCCCAAGACCCCCAGCCGCCTGGACGCCCCCCATCCTTCCTAACACTGGCAATAAACCCTCAACTGTGACTCAGCCTGGCCCAGGGATGCCTCTGTCTGTCTGGGTCCCAGGGGAGGGGTTTGGGGAGGGTACCCCACACAACCTTTATTTAGGGCTTTCACGGCCCACTCTCCTCAAGCACATCAAAGACATCCTGTGTGACCCGGCAGAGGGGTGAGGGGAGTCCCTGCCATCTCTGCCTTGGTTCCCTCATCTGTTAAGTGCGGTTGTAACATGACCTGAGACGGGCCAATTTTTCAGACAGAACTGACACCATACCTTGTTCCAGGAACTTTAATATTTGTGAGATAAAGTTCTGGCAAATACACACCTTCCCCAGTGCTCTGCACCCTGCCTGGGACAGATAAGCAGGGTGGGCTCTATCTCGTACGAACACAAGCACATGCCTACTCCCGGCATAGACAGAAATCTGTTCTGTTTACAAGTACAAGCAGCAGCTGTAGCCAGGGCTGTCGGGTTGGAGGGCGGAGCTGGTCCCGCTGGGCGCTGACCGGCTGGGGACGGTTATCCACGCGGACCCTGGCCCCATCGAGGTGGGCCTTGCGGTAGGTAATGAGGCAGGCATCCTGAGCCAGAGGAGGGGCCCTGGCACCCCACCCAACACCAGGGTCAGGGGCTCTCTTTAGGCCTGGGTGGAGCTCTCAAGAAATCCCTAGGAGCAGTCCCTAAGAGCAGGCATGGGCCCTGTTCACGCCTCATGGGCTGTCTCTGGGAAAAAAATTTCACGGCATCGCTGTACTGTATCCTGTGGGGACACCACACTGTGGCCAACGGTCCGGGGGTCAGCGTAGATCTCAAAGTCATTCCCACCCTGCACACAATGAAGGGCAGAGAAGACACATACATATGTGGTACCTGGAGGAGTTGCCCAGGGCTAAGGCCCATCACACACCCTGGCGTGGGGCCCCTCCCCACATTGGCTCTGGCAGAGCTGCCTCTCCCCCTACCCCTCAGAACCACCCGGAACCCCATCTTTTCAGTCTTCACCAGACCTGCCCTGATTTTCTGTGTGGCATGGGAAAAGTGACCAGCCAGCGCTAGGCCCCAGTCTTCCAATCTGTGTAATGGGGCTGGCGAACACAGGCTGTTCTCCGGGAGTCTCCTGGGGATGTGCTCTGTTGCCCTGCGTCCTAGCTTTGACCCGGGCACAATTTGGGGTGGAAGGCACCTGGATGCGCCACACTCACAGGGCTGGTCTCGTTCCCAAAGAAGTGAATGGTGTCGAAGCTGTCCTGGTCCAGGCTGTCCAGACAGTAGCGCTTGTCCCAGCCCTCGGGGAAGACGTCAAAGCTGATCATGCCTCCTGTGGGGGGGTGGCGAACAAGGCTAACAGAGGGGTGGCCGATGGGGTGAACTTGGGCAGGGTGCTTCATTCATTCACTCACTCATTCATTCATTCAACCACCCTTGAGTGCCTGCTCAGAGCCAGCCACAGGGCATGGGAGACTCAGGATCCTCACTGAGTTGTGATCCTGGTGGGGAGAACAGGCAGTCAACAAGCCAGACCAGCACTGCTGGGGAGACCTTTCTGGGAGGTGGTACTAAGGGCTGAGCCAGAGTGGCAACAGCGGGGAACCAGGCCTAGTCCCTGCCTGCTATAGTGGAGAAGGGCATGGAGTTTCCCAGCACTAGAGAAGGCTGGGACAGGGAAAGGGTGAGGTCATGCAGGCCCTGGGGTCCAGGAAGGGCTCTGAGCAGGGGTATCCCTCTGGACACTAGGCAGTGGGAGGACAGCTATGTTAGTTAGCCCGAGTCCAAGAACTAACTTGGCAGAGGTGTGAACCGTGGTCAGATTCCAGAAGCATTCTGGATATAGGCCCTGGGACTTGCTAGTGGACTGCACTTGGGAAGGGGTGAGGAGAAACACTGAGGGAGACGCTTTGGTTTTCTGACCTGAGCAATTAGGAGGGTGGCAGGGTGTGGACTGAGTTTCGGTGGCTAAGACCGGGTGGGGGGGTGGCAGGAAGGCTTTCTAAAGGCACTGGGAATGAGGCCGTGGGCTGGCTTCTGTGTCAGGCTCTCATACCCTCCCCAGGATGAATGGATGGACGTACCTCGAGAGAACCTCAGCCCTTTGCCAGCAAACTCTGTTTTCAGGGCTTCCACAAACTTCTCGCGAATCTTCTCCTTCTGCAGGTGGGGAGGGACAGACTGAGGCTCAGAGGGTTGCTGTGTGCCAGGCCCTGTGCTGGGCATACAACTGTGGGAGCTCAGGGTCTCTGAGGTGGATACCGTGACCCCCCCTTTACAGATGAGGAAACCGAGGCTCAGCGAATGGCTGTGCCTTATTCAAGGTCATCCAGCCTTGGTGGCAGAGCCAGGGCCTGAATCCAGAAGGTCTGTGACTGAACTCGGCTGGATCCTCCCAATGGGGGTGTGGTCAGGGTATCCAAAGGAGCCCTTGGAGTGGAGGCATGAGGAGGAGTTTGAGGGGATGGGACAGGCCCAAGTCCCAAAGTCCACCTCAGGGCAGGGCTCAGTCCCAACTGCTCTGCCCAGCTCAACAAGCAAATCGGACATGAGAGATGAGCATGAGGAGCCAGGAGCAGGTGAAGCCCTGTTACAGCATAGCAGTGGATACTGAGAGGTCAGCAGGATGCCAGGCATAGCCACAGCACCAGCCACACGGCGACGTGGACTGGGCACCTCCTATGTGCAGGGGGTTGGGGAACTCAGCAGTGCTGAGGAGTCCCCTGCTGTACCCCACTCCTGGGGCAGGACCTTGTAAGTCCGCAGCAGATCTGCAGACCCAGACTAAGGAGGCATTTGCTCATTAGGCCAAGGACCCCTGGCCTGGCCCTGTTGGGGCCACGGGCAAACAACCATGCAGGGCCTAGCAGGGCAGCATCTTGGCTGCCGTGCTAACAGGGGCCAGCACCATACGGGTGGAAGGATTGCGCAGTACAGGGGCAGTCCCCACCTTGCCGAAGGAGCAGCGAGAGCCTGATGGGACAGTCAACTCACAGATGGCCTGGGAGAGAGTCTGGACACATCCTGGGGGAACTGAGAGCCACTGAGATTTTGAAGCACGGGAGTAGAGTGCTAGGCCTGCATTTTAGTCAGTCCAAGTTGGGTAGGACTGGAAAGGAGAGAGGCAGGCAGTGGCCAGTGGTTTGGGGCCTGATGTGGGCCAGGAAGGATAGGAGTTTAACGCCTGATGTGACCCAATATGAGAGAGAAAGGCAGGCCCCGTGGGTTCCAGGCCTGGTTGTGTGACTTTTCTGAGCCTATTTCCTGGGCTAAAGGATGGAGAGGTAATGAATGAACCCTCCTTTCCTCCCTCTCCTAGAAAAGCAGAAAAGTGGGATGTGAAGCCCCTGCCTACTGTACCCTTGCTGTCCCAGCAGGCAGGTGGGTCCCCAGGGAGGTTAAGAGTCCCCACCAGAGGCTACTCTATGGGCCCAGGGTTAGAGTTAAGGGTGCCCCAGGATGGCTGTATCTCCTGTCTCTGGAGAACCAGGCTGACCACTGGATGGCCCCGTGTGTCAAGTCCAGCCTTAGCAAGGACCAGCACTGTGACCCTGAGCTTATTACTTAGCCTCTGGCCTCAGTGTCCTCATCCAAGGAGGGGGACTGACTATCTGCCCTTGGGATCTGAAGGACTGAAGGAGAATAGAACACTTACATGGGATCCTGGCTGGTGTAGGTCACACAGATCAGGAAGTTTGTGCCCTCCCCTCATACTGGGGCAAACAAGAGCCAGAAAGACAAGTGAAGACCCTGGGAGCTGTGGGAAGGGTCAGTGTTGTGTCAGACTTCCACCTTGCCCAGTAATTACAGCCCATGGGATGGGGACTGTGCTTACCCCCACTCTATAGATGTGACAACGGAGCCACACGGTAGTAAAGCCACTTTTCCAGGCTGCTCGGCAAGCAGGAGGTGGGGCTGAGACTGAAAGTGGGTAGCCTGAGTAGAGACCATCCCTCAATATGTGTATGGGAAGGGTCTTTGGTCAGTGGTCAGTCTTCACCACCCCAAAAAGAAAAGCCTCCATGCCCATGGGCAGTGCCTACCATAATCCTTGGGACATGGGAGTGCAGAACAGGGGTGGGCGTCAGTGAGCAACCTTGAGAGTCCTACCCTCAGGGAAACATCAGAGGGTAGCAGATGGAGTTCCAAGTTTAAATCTGCTCTGCAACCAATTCCCTATGTGACCTTGGCAAGTCATTTCCCCTCTCTGAGCCTCAGTTTCCTCATTCATAAAATGGGGACACCACCACCTATTTCATTCATTCAGAACGTATTTCTTGAGCACGTGCCAGGCACAGTGGGTCCAGCAGTGAACAGTCACAGAAATCCTGGAAGGGGCCTACAGCTTCAGTGGGGGAGACATACAGTAACCAAGATTTGAAAAGTAGGTGATTGAGTGTATTAGTGGGTGGTGATGGCTGCTTGGGGAGAAATAAGATAGGAGAGAAGCAGGAGGTGCAGAGGGTGCAATGTTAAATGGATGAGAAAGTGACCTGAGCAGATGTGAAGAGGGGGAGGGGATGAGCAGAGGGAAATGTGTTTAAGGTGGAAGGCACAGCCCCCAAGTGGCTATCTCCATCTCCATCTGCTATCTCCAGAATCAGCAAGGAGGATGTGGTTGGAGTGGAGACAGCAAGGGGGAGAGAAGGCCAGAGAGAACACCAGAGGGAAGAGCCTTGGATGGGTGGACTTACTCCATTCCTGAAAAGGCCGGGTGAGTGGTGGGGATGACAAGCAAAATGCAAGTCAAGGTCTAGCAGGGGCAGCATACCCAAAGGCAAGAGAAATACTGGAATGTTCCAAGAACAGATGCACGGAGAAGGCTGAAGGGGGTGGACCCGAGCTGGGCAGACCCCTCAGGGCTCAGGGTACCATAGGAGGGGTTGCGGCATTGCCCACTCCTTACAAGCAGGGAGTGGATGGGGCTGACAGGTTCTAAAAGGCTCTCAGTGGCACCACTGGAGGACAGACTGGCAAGGGTTTGTGTGTGGGGGGGAGTAGCCTGGGGGAGAGACACACAGGTGAACAGATTTGAGACCACTCCAGAGGTTGAATTAAGAGGAATTACTGCTGGGCTCCACATGGGTGGGAAGGTAGAGACGATGTCCTTGGCTAAGTGGTGGCTGCTGGTGCTGCTCACCAAGGGAGGGAAACCAGCCATATGGGAAAGATGCAGGAGTGTCCACACCATGGCACACGGTGGGTGTCCCAAAGGGTATTGGTTGAATCAGAACGCCACCCCCTACCTCCCGATCCATCTTGCTGATGAGAAAGCAAGGGCCCAGAGAGGCCGAATGACCCAGGTCCTATAGCCTAAGGTTGCACAGTCGGTGGCACCTTGTCTAGTTCGGAGAACTCGATTCGCTCCTCCAGGGTACAGCTCCGGCCGATGGGTGAGATGTTCAGCATGCCATTCCGGAACTCGATGAAGGTTCCACTGGTGGTCACAGGAGCAAGAGGGAGGGCAGGGAACCAGAGAGAAGAATGGCCCTGAATTCAAATCCAGCCCCCTCTGGGACCACTGCCTCCTTGGACCTCACTCGGGACAAGAATCCACACACCAATAAGTTGGGGCCCTGGCACCTGCAGGTCCCATCTGAGAGACCTGCCCCTGTCCTCCCTCGGGCCTGGGGTGGTGGTGGGGCGGGGGAGGCTGGATGCAAGGCTGGGAGGGGTCTCACCGCTTCTTGGGCAGTCTGAGCAGAGCCATGTAGCGGAGGCAGAAGTTGATCAAGTCCTGCAGCAGCTCCTCCCCCAAGTGGTTCTGGATGGTCTGGGCAGGGAACATGGGGCTCTGAGTGTGGTGGGCACAGTGCCCTCCCCCATCCCAGGACAAAGGCCCCCATGGGGTGTGCCACTACCAAAAAGGGTCCCAGGTTAAGGCCCTGCGGAGTACTGACCTGCTTGGAGAGCAGTCGTCCATGCTTATACTGCACTGTCCCATTCTCAGCAAACACATAATCAAACTTCTCGATGACTTCAGGGGTACATAGGAGCCAGGAAGAAAGAGAGTGTGAGAACACCCAGAGCCAAGTACGGGGATAAAGGCCACACTCCTTGGTTTGCCATTCAAAGCCCATTTGTTCCATTCTAAGCCTGCTTTCCTGGGCTCTTCACCTTCAGCTTTTTTCCCAAACAAGCGAACAAGCCAGTCAGTCTCTGGGCCCTGGTTCACAGGGGTCCTTCAGCCTGGAAGGCCCTCCCCTCACTTCCCCTTCCCCCTCCAAGATTCAGCTTCTTCTTCTGGAAGGCTTCCCGGACTCCCCAGCAGAGGGCGCCATTTCCATTGTGCTCCCACAGCTCCATGGCCCAAGGGGTGCCGCTGGGTTTTCCAGTTTCCATCACTGTTCTGGAAGGCTGGTTGCATGGGGGGAGTTATCAGCTCTAGCTGCCACAGTAAGTGGCTGGATGGGTCGGTGGAGATGCAGACGTGGACACACAGGGAGATATTTCCAGACTGGCTGATAGAATGCACAAGGCGGTGGGGAGAAAGGGAAAAGTCAAGTTTCTGGTTTGAGGACTGGTGGGGTCTGCCTCAACTGAGCTGAGATGGGAACGCAGCTGTGAACAGATGCTCTGGGTCCCGGGGGGCCTTCAGAATCCTTCTCTATTAAATGGGATAACCGTGCCCACCCTAATGTGTGGTTGTGACCATGCAATGAAAAGAAGTCAACACATGGTCATTTTCAATCTGACCATGCGCATTTTATTTTTATTTTTATTTTTTTTAAATTTCTTTTTTTTAATTTATTTATGATAGTCACACAGTGAGAGAGAGAGGCAGAGACATAGGCAGAGGGAGAAGCAGGCTCCATGCACCGGGAGCCCGACGTGGGATTCGATCCCGGGTCTCCAGGATCGTGCCCTGGGCCAAAGGCAAGTGCCAAACGGCTGCGCCACCCAGGGATCCCCACCATGCGCATTTTAAAGAGGAAACACAAGAGACTCAGCGGAGAGAGCTGAGGATGTAAACTATCCCAGGGCAAGATTCTGCAGGCTTTGTTCCCTGCCCTCTCTCCAAAGCATGACACAGTGCCTGGCACATGGCCCGTGCTCACTATGCATCAGTGATGGAGAGATCTGGCTGTTTCCTCTACTTCCTCTGCCCCACAGAAGCGGGGCTGGGTCTTTGAAGGCACACAGGTCCAAGGAACTCCCGAACTCCCCACCTCCACCCAGACTGTGGCACTGGCTCTGGGTGCCCCTCCTACCTTCATCCCCCTCTCCCAGCTGCTCAGCAATCTTAGAGTAGTCGGAGCCGCCCACCACACCGATCTGCACCCTACTTCGCAGCTTCTGCAGGAAGGCAGCCACCTCAGGGTCAATTTTCTGCAGGGGGTTGGGTGGGAAAGCACAAGATTTCTGGCTGTCAGCATGTCTGGGACCTCCACTTGGCCCTCACTCAGTGCTCAGAATCCAGGGAGCCCATGTTCCATCTGAATCTGAGCTAGTTCAAGGTTTAGAAGCCAGACCTCAAAATTAGAAGCAATGGGTTCAGATGCTGGCCCAAGTCTCAATTGCAGGCTGATCTTGAGCAATTGGCTTTGCTTTCTTTGCCTTAGTGACTGCCTCATTTATAAAAGGGGATCAAAGTAGCAACCTGCTGCTATGGAGGTGGTCACTACTAAGATTAAATGAGATACTTCATGGAAACGAACAAGCAATTAGCTGGTGACTAATCACATGAGGATTCCCCAAGGAAGTGAAAACTAATGAGTTACACTCCATGTTTTCAGACTTTCAGCTATTTAAAGCTGACAGTACCTACAGTGAATTGAATGACCATATCAAATGCTGCCAGTGAGAGTGTAAATTGGTGCAACCACTTTGGAGGATAGTTTGGCAAGATCTATGAAAACGTATGCATGCACCCTGTCACCCAGAATTTCCACTTCTCTTGCCTGGGTGTATATGGAAGTTCACTAGGTATGGTTTACCATAGTGAAAGCCTACAAACAACTCAGGCTTGTCAACCAGAGAATGGTAAATACCTGCTCTGAAATACTATACTGTGGTTACACAGAGTAAGGCAGGCCTGTGCTTCCAATAGGGGAGAGCCCCTAAGACATGCTGTTAACTGCCAAAAACAAGTTGCAGGGAGTGCCTGGGTGGTACAGTTTGTTAAGTGACTCTTGGTTTCGGCTCAGGTTCTCAGAATTCTGAGATCAAGCCCCAACTCCAGGTCAATGCTCAATGCAGAGTCTGCTTGAGACTCTCTTCCCCTGTCCGCCCCCTCTGTAAAATAAGTAAATAAATCTTAAAAAAAAAAAAAAGGCAAGTTGCAGAAAGCACACACAATATATCACTCATTTAAAAAAAAAAAAAAAGGAAAGGAAAGGCTCACAAAAACTGCTTAATATTGTTTGAGAAAACAGAAATCTAGATGAAGATCTGGAAGGAAGCCACAACAAGCAACCACCTTTCCTTGGGGTGGGGATGGGCCTGGGCCTGGGATTCTGATGTAGTCAGAGAGGACTTTAGCCTTCTCTGTTTTCATGCTTTACAGGAGAATCCTGAATATGTGTCTAATTAAAAATTAACTTCTATTTATCTATTTATTTCTAGCTTATTTATTTACTTATTTATTTTAGTAATCTCTATACCACCTGGAGCTAGAATATGATCCTCAGATCAAGAGTCACATGCTCTTCTGAGTCAGCCAGGCACCCCCAAAATTAACTTTTAAAAAAGCACTAAGGATAGGGCTTGGTATTAACACCGGTGGACAGCAATAACACAGTGTTCTTGTACAGGTTCCTGGGTCAGTGGAGCAAAGGGTCAAAGGGAGGGACTGAGGCTGTGCCTTAGACCTTGCTGCCCTCTCTCTACTGTCCTTTTTCTCCCATCCCTGAGGACCGTGGAGGGAGGGCACCCTGATTCCTTCTTGTGCCCCCAGAGCCTAACCCAGGGCCCTCTCATAGGGCAGGGCAGGGGGGTGCATTCAGGACCTAACAGGGGAGGTTAAGACCTGGCCTCCCATCAGCCTCTGCCCTGAAGCTCAGACCTATGGCTCCCTGCTCTAGGGGATCCCAGTTGTTCTCCTTATGGCCCGACTGGAGAGCGGAATACCCTCAGGACTGGCAAGAGGCCTGTTTATTTATGTACCCAGCTGGTGAGGACCAGTCTAGGGGGTCACCTAGGGTGAGAGGCAAAGCTAGAAAAACTGAGCGTGGAGCAGAATTTGGAGGATCAACATAGTGACAAGTCTTCAGAAGAGCTGTACCCTCCCTGGGCCATAATACCTTCACAGTGACCACACTGGGCCCGGGGACGCTCACCTCCAGGAGGGCGGAGCCCAAAACTCATCTGAAAAGGTACAGAAGCCCTACTTCCCTCCAGAACGGTGGCTGGGAGGTAACGTGGGTGAGGAACTTGAGAACCAGACCTAGGCCCAGGCCTGTAGAGGTCGGGTGGGATGGCTCCAAGCCCCCGCACTCGGTTCTGATGCTTGGGCGCGTGTCAGCCCCGTCTAAAACCCTGGGCTCGGATGCCAGCTTCGGGCCACAGGTGTGTCTTAGGGGCGGGAGCCGGGGCTGGGGAGGCGGGGGCGTCGGGGACCAGGCCTCGGCGAGAGGAAGCCTGAGCTGGGGAAGGGAAGCTAGGTCCCCGCTCGCAGCCTCCTCCCTCCAGCATCCCACCCACCCCGACGCTCCCGGGCAGGAGGTGGGCGCAGGTGCTCGGGGGCTGCGACGTGGGGGCCGGGTCCCCATCACTCCCAGCGGACGGCCGTGGGGCGTCAGGGGCCGCGGACCGCTGCATCCCACACTCGGTCCTGGAGGGCCCCGGGGTTACCACTTTGGGCCTCTGAGCGTCCGCGCGACACTCCCGATGGGAGGCGCTGAACGTCGGGGCCTTACCTGGCGAGCCGGCGTGAGGGTCCCGTCCACGTCAAACAGGCAGAGGACGCGCTCCTTCCTGCGGGCGCCCTCAGCGGCGACGGCCATGGCTGCAGCTCCGCTCGCGCGGGAGACGCCGGGGATGCGGCCGCCGGAGCCGCTTCTGAAAGAGGCTAGACCGGGCGGGGCCTGGGGGGGCGGGGCCAGCCGGCAGGGCCGCGGGGCCCGCCCGCGAAGGGGCGTGATCAGGGCGTGATCTTTGCGGGAGGGGCGGGGCTGGGGCTGGGCCAGCTGGCAGAGCCGCGGGGCCCCGCCCAAGAAAGGGCGTGGCCAGGGCGTGATCTCGGCGGGAGGGGGAGGGGCCCGAGCGGACTCAGGAAGGCTGATTCTGATTGCGTCAGGAGGGCAGGGGGCGGGGCAAGGGGCGGGGCAGAACGCGGCGGATTGGTCGGACGGGCCCAGACCAGACGGGGGCGGGGCCTGGGCCTGGGCCCAGCGGGAAGTGAGGGCTAGAACCCGGAAGAGAGGAGCGGGGCTTCCGCGGGTTGACTCTGAGTGTACCTGGTCGAGAAGGGGCTGGCCGGGGGCGGAGCCTCGAACCCCGCAGTGCAGGGGGCGGGGGCGGGACTCCAAGGACCCGAGCTGTCCCCGATTCTCCCTGCCTGCCATCTATGACTCATTCCCTCGTTGCTAATCCCTTTGCCCTACAAATTTTAAGCTTTAAGTAATCTGATGGCCTTTGCTCAGGCTCTGGACTTTGCCAGATGGCCTTACGCCTCCCGCTGTCATTCTGTCCACCGCATGAGGCCCAGCTCATGGTCTGCCTCCTTAAAGAAACCTTCCTGGATCCCTCTTTTCGCAACCATTTAACCATCACATTGACTTTATGGTCAGTCCTAGGTTGTCCACTACTATGTGACTTTGGCCAAGTCACTGCACTGAGGCTTTGTGTCTCCATCTGTAAAATGGGAAGAATACCACCTACTTTGTAAGGTTGCTGTGTGCACCTGCAAAGAAATAATAAATATAATGGAGCCCACATGGGACCTGGTGCTCCGCAGACCTACGCCAAAGGAGAATTTATACAGATGTGCTTGATATTGTTACTGATTAAACAGCTATTGGCACGTCAAAATAATGTAGTTTTGGAATACAGGTGAGGTTTGGTGGGGTGAGGTCTGGAGCCCATGACCACGAAAGAGTTCTTGAGACTTCTTTGATCAAAATGGTGGTTTTATTAAAGCACAGAGACAGGACCTGTGGGCAGAAGGAGCTGCACTGGGGTTGTGAGGAGTGGCTGGTTATATATTTGGGAGTTGGGAGAGGTAGGGAAAAGGGAAATTTTCAAAAGAACTTTCATATGCTAAAGAGGACCTGCAAGATACTGGAGGCCTTGCCTTTGTCAGGTTAAGGTTGTTTTTCCTTCTTGCAATGCATTAACATAAGATAGTTGGGAGCTTCCTGGAGAAATGTTACACTCTATCCACTTCAAGTAGCTGTCAATAGGCTGCATTTAATTGTATCTACATTTCCTTCTGGAAGCTAGGATATTGATAAAAATGCTTTGTTCTTGTAAATTACTAAAACATTTGTAAACTGAGGGAGATTTATGTCTTGGAGGATTGTGATCTCTGTAAGTTAACTATTCGTTTTTCCTTAGCTTTAGGGCGGCCAGGCCAGGAGTGTCTAAGGAATGTCACCTGGGGGAGGGGCTGGTTGCCAGGTGTCAGCTTGTGCTTTGTACTCAGCTAGCCTTGTGCTCCCTCATCAAAGTTTTTTCTTTTTTAACAATTTTCTTTTTTTAAAAAAAATATTTTATTTATTTATTCATGAGAGAGAGAGAGAGAGAGAGGCAGAGACACAGGCAGAGGGAGAAGCAGGCTCCATGCAGGGAGCCTGATGTGGGACTAGACCCTGGGACTCCAGGATCACGCCCTGGGCCAAAGGCAGGCGCTAAACTGCTACCCAGGGATTCCCCCTCATCAAAGTCTTAAAAATGAGCCAGCAATTTAACTTGCAGAAAATAAGGAGAAAAATTGGGGATTGGTTAAAATTTTTTTAACGATTTTATTTATTTATTCATGAGAGACACAGGCAAAGGGAGAAGAAGCAGGCTCCATGCAGGAATCCCGACGTGGGACTCCATCCCAGACTTGATCCCAGGTCTCTAGGATCACGCCCTGGGCTGAAGGCAGGCGCTAAACCGTTGAGCCACCCAGGGATCCCCTTGGGGATTGGTTAAATTAACTATAATCCATTTATGAGGTGAAGTTCTGTGAAGCCATAAAACCTGTGTTGTAGAATATTTTGTGTGGAAAGAGCTTGCAAGAAAAAGTAGCTGTCTGCGGGTGCTGATATGATGGTGAGTTTCAAAGTTTTTTCTTCTTTTGGAAATGCATTGACTGCAGGTTCTTCTTCATCGGGACTCTCCTTTTTGGCTTCCTTCCATACTTTCAGAGCCAAGCCCACCCCTACCTCCCTCTGTGCTCCCAGGGGATACCCTGGCCAGACATTTTTGCTGCACCCACCATTCTTGCCCTGATGCCTGTGATCAGCTCTGGCAGTTTTCATTATCCGTATCCTCTTGTTGTGCCCAAGACTGCAAATCCGAGAAACCACCAAGGAGCCGAACCTATGCAAGCACATGAGGGTTTATTAGCAAGCTCGAGCTTGGGTCCAAGTATACCCGACACAGTGGAGCAGGGACTTGGACCCCGAGGTGGGTTACAGCTGGGTTTTTTATAGGCTGGTCTATACATTCTGATATGGGGCTTAAGGGCATTGAGCTCTGTTCTCATTCTAATATGGGACTTTCTACCACGGGGGTGGGCTCTGTTGTCTTTCTGATATGGGATTCTCTGCCTAGGGCAATTCTGAGCTCTGTTGTCTTTCTGATATGGGATTCATTCTGCAGTTTTTCCTATAAAATTCAGCTCTTATTCACAGGGGCCTAAGATGGCTGTACTTGTGCTAATGCTAAACTTGAGGTGGAGTGGCCTTGATTTTTCTTGGCCTCCATACTCGGAGTGGCACTTCAGTGTACAGTGCTCTTGATAGTTGGGTTTTTGGTTGGTTGGTTTTGTCTTGGTAACTGTGCTGCTCTGGGAAGATCACTGGAGGCAGAGTTAGGAAAATTGCAGATTCGTCCCTGCTAACTATGAGGACTTGGACAGGTCACCTTTCCTGACTTGTTTTTTCATCAATATAATGGGGACTTAATCCCCACCTGAGATAATTGTGTCATAGTCATGCTAGTGATGAGATAGTAGTGATAAGATAGTAGTAGTGACAGAAGTGAGGAGACAGTAGTGATGAAGGAGCAGCAGGCAAGCTAAGGACAAAGCACAGCTGACACCCTGCAACATCCTCCCTCCTAGGTGGAATCCTGTGACATTCCTCCAGGGAAACTTCCAACTATCTTAATTTTAATGCTTTTCTAGGGAGAAAACCAATCTTACCTTGACAATAACAAGGCCTCCAGTATTCTGAGAGTCCTCTTTAGCAGATGAAAGTCTTTTTAGACACCTCCTTTTTCCTCATCCTCAACTCCCAAGTATATAATCAACCATTCTTCATGCCCCCAGTCCAGCAGCTTTCTGCCCACAAATTCTGTCCATGTGCTGTAATAAAACTACCTTTTTATAAAATCATCCTTTTACACCAAAAACGTCTCAAGAATTCTTTCTTGGGACACCTGCGTGGCTCAGTGGTTGAGTGTCTGCCTGCCTTGGCTCAGGTTGTGATCCCGGGGTCCTGGGATCGAGTACTGAATCGGGTTCCCTGGAGGGAGCCTGCTTCTCCCTCTGCCTGTGTCTCTGCCTCTCTCTCTCTCTCTGTGTGTGTGTAACTATCATAAATAAATAAATAAATAAATAAATAAATAAATAAATAAAATAAAAATAAATAGCAAAATAAATGGCATTTTAATTTTTTTAACTTAATATTTTTGAAAGTCAAAATTAATGCAAAAAAATCCACAATGAGCAAAACATCAGATAAAATTTAGAGCGCCCGGGTGGCAGTCAATTGAGCATCTGACTCTTGGTTTCCGCTCAGGTTATGATCTCAGAGCTGTGAAATAGAGCCCTGTGCTGGATACCACACTCAGCACGGAGCTTGCTTGAGATTCTCTCTCTCTCTCTCTCTCTCTCTCTTTCCCTCCCACTTGCTCTCTCTCTCTCTCTCAAATAAATCTTTTTTTTTTTTTTAAGATTTTATTTATTCAGACAGAGACACAGGCAGAGGGAGAAGCAGGCTCCATGCAGGGAGCCCGACGTGGGACTCAAGCTCTGGACTCCAGGATCACACCCTGAGCTGAAGACAGACGCTCAATCACTGAGCCACCCAGGTGTCCCATCAAATTAATAAATCAAAAAAAAAAAAAAAAAAAGGATCAGTAATTGTGCCCTGCTGAGGAGCCATTGTCAAGCTGGGCAAAAGAAAAAAATCTTTTTTTTCCAGGCCCTGTACCAGAGTTTGGTTCATTGATTAAACAAATGCATTGTGCTACACACTGTTCTGGGTTCCGGAAACAAAACAAGGGCCTTGCCCTCAAGAAGCTTTTATTTTCTGTTGGATACAGACAGCAAACAGAATCATCTCCTTGGGAAGGAAAACCCAACTTGTTCTCCTGCTCCTCCTCCTTCTGCTCCATCTGGATCTTGTCCCCGAGGCTCTGAGCACAGGCAGGACCTGAGACCCTCCCAGGACCCAGGAGTGTAGAGTCTGTGGGTGGGGGCTGGAATTAATTTCTCATTAGATTAGATTAATTTCTCATATTTCATGGCCAATACCTGTTTCATTGCCCAAGAATTCCTAGGAACTGATTAAATCCAGATACCTGGGCCCCAGACCTGCTGCTGGGATCCAGAAGCCATAGGATGGGGTTCACAGAGGCAGGACAGGTTTTTGTCTCCTGTGGATTGGGTCCACGGCAATAGCACACCCGTGCCTTAGATCTGTAGTGAACTCATTTCCTTACAAATACCTTTCAAGAGTCTCTTCCTGATTTCTTACCTCAACCATTTCATTCATAAGGCCACTGAAACCCAGAGAGGGGGAGTGAGCTGCCCAAGGCACAGACCCAGGAGGACCTGAGGGAGGAGCCCTGGTGGCCACCAGTGTGTCCCTTTAAGAGAGAGGCTCATCCCTGGCAACTGTGCTCTGATGGGGCCCTGGGAGCCCCCAGGGAGAGGGAGGAGTAAAACTGGGGGTACTGGGGCTTGAAAGACTGGCCAGAGGGCATTTCAAGAGCACCAAACAAAGCCAGGCCTGAAGACAGGAGGCCTGAGACCATCGCCTGGAAGAATCCTGCTCAGGAAGGAAGGCTCTGACTCTTTGGAGCTGGGCATTTGACTGAGGCTTGGAGGTCAGTGGCTTTCATATTTGGTTTGGACACTGTGACTCCTGCCCTGGGTGTTTCACTTACTTTTACCAAGAACCCTTTGAGGTGAGTACCCTTATAGGAATTTCTAGATGTCAGTACTGACCCCAGAGAGATGAAGTTGGCTTTCCAGGATCACGGAATGGTCAGGTTTCACATTCACTTCTGCTCCTCTAAAGCTCGTGGTTTTCCCTGCCCCCTTGGTGGAAGGCCAACTGTCAACATGTGCTAAGTGAATATTGGTGGGGTGTTGACTCTCTTTTTCCCTACATGGAGTGTGACTTTTTGAGGGTGACAGGCCCAGCCTGAGGGGCAGTCATGCTGTAGTGTGTATATAGTCAAACCAACAGCTCCTGGGGCTGCCTCTTCCCAGTGAGGTGACCTTGGGTAGGTCCCTCCCTTAGCCTGTTCCTCATTTATAAATGGGGTCCCCACTGCCAGCCTCTCCCGGGCTGTCAGGAAGATGTGGGGTGCAGGAGAGGAGATGTGCTAACAGAGGCTTTGCAAAGAACAGTCGGGGCTGGTTTGCTGGTTCTAATTCCCTCTGGGTTCAGGGGCAGTGGGAGGCTGGGGAGACTGGATGTTGGCTTTTTTTTCTCCCAGGCTTCAAAATGTCTGCAGGGCTTACATTGTTTTCACAATAAACAAGTCCATGGAATTTAAACAGGTGGAAGGACGCATGCTCAGAGGTGTTTGTGGAGGGAGTGGGAACTGTTGCTGGGTTGGCACAGGCCCCCTTGGGACAGAAGCCAGTGGGGACAGGGATGACAGGGATGACAGGGCCCCACCTGGAGGTGGGGGCAGGACCGGCACCCCCACCACCACCACCACCAGGGGCTGGTGATCTCTGTGGATCAGAGCCCAGCCCCAGGACTGAGAACTTGGGTGATTCACTCCTCACCTCTGGAGCCAGAGGTGGGGAGAGGAGTCCAGCCAGGAGGGGTGTAGAGATTGTCTGATCCCTAGTCTTCATTCTGTAGATGCAGAAGCTGAGGCCCAGGGACACCTGGGTGGCTCAGTGGTTGAGCATCTGCCTTTGGCGCAGGTAGTGATCCTGGGGTCGTGGGATGGAGTCCCACATCCGGCTCCCCGCAGGGAGTCTGCTTCTCCATCTGCCTGTGTCTCTGCCTCTTCCTGTATCTCTCATTAATAAATAAGATCTTAAAAAAAAAAAGGAGCTGAGGCCCAAAGAGGGGGAGGCTTTGATCAGGGTTCTATGAGTCAGAGGCTCAATTCAGGTAGGTCTGCACGCAAGTCCAGGGTTTCTTGTGACCCATCCTTGCTTTCCATGTTGGCTCCACGGGAGATGCTGGCACTGGGCCAGGTCCTGTGTTGGATGCTGGGCACTCAGGTGATCACAACCAGGCCCTGCCTTGGATGGTGCCCCAGTTGGTGGGAGTGTGCCAGGAAACACCCACAGGAGGAAGGGTGTACTGTGGTGTGGGGAGAAGTCAGGAAGGGCTTGTAGAGGAAATGCTGGAGCAGGGCCTTTAGCTCTGAGGACTCGTCCAGCAAACAGTAACAGGAGCTAGAGGTAGAAATGGCTTGCAGTGATAGGGGCCCTCACTTGCAGCAGGGTATAGGGTTGGAGACGTCCAGGGACAAGCTTAAGAAGGACTTTGATAGGGGTGCCTGGGTGGCTCAGCTGGTTAAACATCGACTCCTCATTTTGGCTCAAGTCATGATCTTAGGGTTGTGAGATCCAGCCCCGCGTGCCTGGAGCTCTGTGCTGGTCATGGAGCCTGCTTGAGATTGTCTTCCTCCTCTCCCTCCATCCCACTGTCTCTCTCCAAAAAAAGGGGGGGGGTAAGGGAGTGGCACCTGGGTGGCTCAGTCCATTGAGCGTCTGCCTTTTTTTTTTTTTTTTTTTTTTATCTATGATAGTCACACAGAGAGAGAGAGAGGGGCAGAGACATAGGCAGAGGGAGAAGCAGGCTCCATGCACCGGGAGCCGGACATGGGATTTGATCCTGGGTCTCCAAGATCGCGCCCTGGGCCAAAGGCAGGCGCCAAACCGCTGCGCCACCCAGGGATCCCAGAGCGTCTGCCTTCTGCTTGGGTCGTGATCCCGGGGTCCTGGGATGAGTCCGCAGTCAGGCTCCCTGCTCAGTGGGGAGCTTGCTTCTCCCTCTCCCACTGCCCCTCTCCCTACTTATGCTCTGTCAAGTACCTAAAATCTTTTTAAAAACTTTTTTTATAAAAAAGGGAGGGCTTTGATAAGTGTGAGAGCAACTGGACTGTTGCCCTGTGGCTATGGGGGGCCACGGAAGGGTGGAGGTGTGGGTGGGGGGAGCAAGCCCTGCTCCTGGGACCCTGGGTAGGAGACAAGTGAAGGTTGGTGGTTGTCTGGGCCGCGCGTGCGTGCACAGCGCCACCTGGTGTCCGCCTCTCTCCCTGCGGCATCACCCTACCGGGCGGCCTCCAGCGGAGGGAATTGGAGCAGAGATCTCTGCGGGGGACTCTGAGCTCCCAGGAACCCTTTAGACCAGGACCAGTCCCACAACCCCTGCCCCCTACCAAAGCAGTCAGGCTCCGTGGTCAACGGCTCACATTCAGTGATGTGCCAGGTCCCTCTTGAGTTCTTTGCTGCCCTCTCAGGCCAGAGCCCCCATGAGCTTGAGGAGACATGGGCCTCATGGTCCAGCCTGCCAGCCTGGGAGGGCCTCCTCCTCCAACCACCATCCCACTCCAGAGCAGGTCCCGCCTCCACGCACACATCTGTGATGAGCGGCCTATTCCTACCTCATGGTTCCTTCAAGCTTTGGGGAACTTTGCTGGAATGTTCTCAGAGCTTCTTCTATCCAATACCACCAGGCACCATCGTTCCCTCTTCAGTGGTTCTCCTTCCGTCTTTCTGGGCCTTACAGATCTTCACTACAGGCTGAGAGAACAAAGGCAGGTACCACACAGCATGTCTAGCATCTGTGTCTTCAAATCCACAGAAACATTGCAGAGATGTGCACAAAACCCAGTATCTCTTAGGACGATGGAATTTCAGATGACTTTTTCCTCTCATCTTTGGACTTTCATTGATTGCTTACATTTTCTAAATATATACAATATTGTAACCAAAAAAAGAAAAATCGGTTTGGAAAAAACAAATTAAGATACTTAAGCAGGAAAAAAAAAAAAGATATTTAAGCAGGGATGCCTGGGTGGCTCAGTGGTTTGGGCCTGCCTTTGGCCCAGGGTGTGTTCCTGGGGTCCCAGGATCAAGTCCTGCATCGGGCTCCCTGCATGGAGCCTGCTTCTCCCTCTGCCTGTGTCTCTGCCTCTCTTTCGGTGTCTCTCATGTATAAATAAATAAAATATTTTTAAAAATCAAGATATTTAAGCACACCCCAGATTAAAGCTGGAGTTGCTCAGTAAAAGCTCACAGACGCAGGGCAAGAGGCTGACAGTGAGTGGCTCTGCAGTCACCACAGCTCTGGCCTTCCCTGCTTCCCAGGGGCTGTTCATTCCTCCCTGCACCCTGAATACCTGGGCAACAGGTTGCTTCTTCCCAGCTCCAGGCACTTAGCAGGTACTCAAAACACCTCGCCTCTTAACTGACTACTCTACTCCCCCTCCAGCCCACTGCCCACCCCCTGCAATCCCTGGTTTTCTGCGGCTCCTCTTGCCCCACCCCACCCCAGTCTGTTCTCAACATAGCAAACCCACCTACAAGGCCCTCCACCTTCGCGCTTCCATCACCCCTCGGCTCTTATGCTCGAGCCACTCTGGTCTCTGTTCAGTCCTTCTAGTGTTCTTTTCACCGGCTGCTCCCTCTGGCCGGAATGTCCTTCAGGCCTCAGATTAAACTTCACTTTGCCACATGACTTCCCCAGCCTCCTAACATATTCCCCATTCACACACAATGCCGCCACCAGGTTTTATTTCCTCCCTAGCACTATGCCACCTGAGATTATCAAACTTCTCCACCCTCTGTTTCCTCACATCCCCAAAATAGAACCCCTGCCAGACAGGGGCCTTGTTGGTCCTGCTCACCACTGCATCTCTAACACAGAGCCCAGGGGTACTTTCCATACAATAGGCTCCCAGGTAAACCTTTGGGGGGATGGATGAACCCTCTCAATTGACTTGCCAGGAGTCACAAAGTCTAAAGGTAAAACCACTTGCCAGTTTCTCCACAAGCAGGTAGTACACATCTGCATCATCGTGTAAACATCCTCAGCAGAGAGGAATGGCCAGGGCCTCTGCACGGAGCTGGCTCACAGGGACGCAGGAACCAATTACCCCATTTTACAGATAAGGACACTAACAAACTGGCTCCCAAGTGGCACAGTTAGGACTTAAACCTAGGCACTTTTTTTTTTTTTAAGATTTTATTTATTTAGGGGTAGCCCCGATGGTGCAGCAATTTGGCGCCGCCTGCAGCCTGGGGTGTGATCCTGGAGACCCCGGATGGAGTCCCACATCGGGCTCCCTGCAGGAAGCCTGCTTCTCCTTTTGCCTATGTCTCTGCCTCTCTCGCTTTCTCTGTGTCACAAGAGAGGCAGAGACACAGGCAGAGGGAGAACCAGGCTCCCTGCAGGGAGCCCGATGTGGGACTTGATCCCCGGTGTCCCGGATCCTGGGCTGACGGCAGCACTAAGCCGCTAAGCCACCTGGGCTGCCCAAACCCAGGCACTCTTAAGGACTCCTGCCTCTGAACATGCCAGCTTTGAGGGGGAAAATGTCAGCCAAAGCCACCTACCCTCTGTATCCTCTGGAGAGACAGCACTGTATTCTTCAGCTAGCATGCTGGAAAGACACAGCGCCTCAACAGTGAGGTCTCATGGGTGTGGTGGTGAGAATATGGTCTAGATTCAAGGGCTCAGCCATTTGCCACCTGGACAACTTTTTTTCTCTGCATCTGTCTTCCCCATCTGTAACATGAGACCAATATCTACATCTCAAGCCCATTGCATGTGACAGCACCTAGCATGGGCTCAGCCCGTGGAAGGTGCTCACTCAAAGTAGGTCAAGTGAATCTACAGACACCTGCAGTCACGCTGCTGTCTGGTTGTACCAGGGGACACTCAGAGAGCTGCCTACCCACCCCTACACGTGTTTAAGGAGCTCATGGTAACAAGGTGGGGAGAGAGCCTTGGAGCCATGAACCCAGCCTATAGCCAAACTGAAAGCAGAAGTAAACACTTCTTGGTGCGGCCAGAGTCCTCTGGGGGAAGATCTCAGAAGTTGGGGCCAGCAGATGCGGCTCTGAGTCTTACTTTACCACCAGCCACAAGGTGACATTGGGCAAGTAATATTCTCTCTGGGCCTTTTCCCTATTTTTGTAACCCAATGGTGAAAGTCATACGTTCATCCCTGTTATTGTCACTTCTTAACCATAAGGCTTACAACCAAGCAAAGGCAGCATATCCAGATTCAGCAAAGTTAAGCTCAGAGGGAGACAGAAGCCTGGCTATGTTGGACGCATACCCAGACCTTCAAGCACGACACAAATGCAGCAGGCAGAATGAGTTTATTGCATTAGAAAAAATACCAAAGAAAACCAGCAAACACCTCCGTACTAGACACAGTTATTAGTTTGACTTCAAGGGTAAAAAGGAAATCTCAAAGGTATAGCTTTATTTTGGGGAGGGGGGTGATGGTCTCATCCCTCCACCTTCTCTGTCCCTTTAAACCAATGGACCTCCCTGAAGGTGTCCAGTGTAGGATATGATCACACACATGGCTCATTTCTCACTCTGCTTGCCTCACACACCTGTGTGGAGCTAGCTGGTCACAATGAGCATGCTTCTGGGGTTCTGGGATTGACCGAGAAGTATGAGGACGGGGTTGGGGGTTGTAGCCTCATCCCAGGCTTCCAAAATGAGTGCTGGGGGCTTGGGTGGGGAAAGTGAGCTTGCCTTCCTGGAGGCACTCTGAGTAGACAGCTGGCTGGCCCCTCCATCTCTCCCCACAATCCTTTGGGCACAGGCATTGGCACAAATGGCTGCTGGGCATGGAGTGGGGGTGCTTTCAATGTACCAAGTGACTTAGTTTCTTAGGGTAGCCAGTTTGGTTAACTTCTCCTGGGTCTGGAGTGACTGCTATTAGGAATGCAGCCAGTTGAGCCTGGGTATGGGGAAGAAGGGAGAAGCAGCCTGTGATGCCCAGTCCCCTCTGGAGAGAGCTGAGTTCTGAGGAGAGAGGCCCGGGCAAGGCAAGCTGGAGAAGGACAGAAATTGGGTGGGAGGCAGGGAGAAGGCTGCCCAACAAGAGAAACCAATGAGCTGCCCTCCAAGAGAAACCTAGCCTGAAACCCATCCTCCTTGAGCCCAATTCTGCACATGGGTCTACATTAAAGAGTCCCTGCTGGTTTCTGGTCTCCAAAATGTCGCTTGACATCACAGCTGGTTACCGTGGAGGTGCCCCTGGTCAGGTCACAGGCAAACACTAAGGCAGAAAACCATCTTTTCCTCCAGCCAAGACCCCAATGGTGCCAACTGCTATGACTAATGGCAGAGACAGGAGGAGATGAGGCCAGAGATGAACAGCAGCTTTTTGAAGAGCAAAGGCACCTGCTACGGGCCAGACCCCAGAAAAGAGAACATAATTCAAGTCTGAGAAGTGGCAGGAGCTGTGGCAAGAAGGGGCGCACAGATGCCAGGGCTGGGATTCAGACACCTGGCAGTTCTAAGTCCCTTCCCCAACACTCACTCCCCTGAAAACTAACTTAAGGGAGGCATATGAAGAAAAGGAATCTGAAAGCCTCTCCAGATAAGAAATCTCCAGACTGTCCCTCCCTATAAGCTCCTGGCAGCAACTCATGAGGAAAATGGCCAGTCAGGCTCTCAACAGTGAATTCTTGAAGTCAGAATGACAATGGAAATAACACGTGCCTTCAAAACACATTGAGGATAATGTAAAAAAAAAAAAAAAAAAAATCTATCGAAAATAACTTGAAATTTTCTTGCCACCTTGATTCTGCATTATTATTCTTTCTATGTCAGGGATATTTTTCTAGAGCAGGGAGTCCTTTCCCCTTGGTCCCTAGCCAAATATTGCATATTGGTTGGGGGGTGGGGTGGGAGGTACAGTGACTGCAAATAAACTACATTATTACTTGTAGACATGAAGATTGGGTCTCTGCCGTTCCAGCCCAAACCTTCAGTAACTATCAGGTGAGTTATGCTGAGGAAGAGCAGCCTGTAGGCAGCAAGGCAGGTGCTCCAAAATTGATATCAGAGGATTGGCAATCAGTAGGTGGAAGGAAGAATGGCTTTATCCTGTATTCTCTGGCCTGACACTTGCTGTCATCCTCCCTTGATCCTGAGGCTTCTGGTTGCTCCAGCCCTGGCCCCGTGGCCTTGCTTGGGGTAGGGAGGGAAGGTGAGAGAGGTTGCAGCTACAGAGTTCACTTAGGTTGGTTAGTCATCCTGAAACTGGTCCCAGGTGCACCACCAAATCCTTTGGTTCATTTAAAAACCAGACAGTAACTGCTTCCAGGATGTTGCAACTGCCACTTCACAGAGGTCGTAAAACTCACCTGGGTCCCACAGGTGGTGACAACCTGGGTAGAGCATGGGCATTCTCTGCAAAGAGGTGCTAGGTTGGGGCTCCCCCAAACTGTGCCTCTTGCCTTCTGCTTAAACAAACCCCCTCCCTTTCTCCAGTGTGGAGGACGCTCAGGAAGCAGCGTCAAAAGTGAACTCACAGACAAGACAGCCTTAATAAATTAGTATAATACTATTAGAAGGGATGGCATTTTGTTCTGTATCTTAGCAGCATTGTCCTACATGCAGCCTGATGATCTCCTTCCCTGGGAAATTTAAAAAGCCGTCCCCTGGTTGTTAGCTCTGATGTAAAATTATAAAATAGAAATCTGGTAGGGTTTGTTTTGTTTAAAAAGGAAAAGCCCCTGATGAGGCAGGGTGGTCCCATGCAGTCCTGTTAACTCTGGCCATTGGGTCGGCCTACAGGGCTCCCTCCATGAGGCTGGATCTGGATGGGGTCCAGGAAGGGCCGCAGAGCCTGTCCGAAGGGCCTGTGGAGAAAAGAGACCCAGGGCTGGGGTGGGCTGGGTGCAGACAGTCACAACGGTGCCCACAGGGGTGGTGGTGCCACACCAGGAAGGACACCATAGCTTCATTCAGTTTTCTCACCTACCCCGCACATGACGGTCATTGAGGGGCTCTCAAGACAGCCTGCTCTGTCCTTTTACCCCTGGGGCCCCCTCCTTGGTAGATGCTGCCATTTTACTACCTTCGCCAGATTCTGGTTAGCCATGGCTTAAACGGGCTAGCAATGCACAGGGAACTAGAGCTTTCTGGCCTTTCAGTACCTGAATCTTTAATTTTCACAGTATAAGATAAAAATAAATTTTGAGGAAGGAAGCTGAGGCAAAGGAATGAGGATATGAAAATGGTATCTTCTAGGGAGTGCAGGGGATATTCGGGAAATCAACAATTGCAGGTTGCCAGAAGCCGTTAATGCCACTTTCTAAAGCCCCCTCTCCCCCGTTTGTGCTCAGAGTAGCTTAGCTGGAAAGAACACTGTAAATACTGGAGTCTTAGAGACTTTCCAGAATTCCTAGAACCTTAAATCAGGGTGCCCACAACACATCTCAGTTACTGGCTTTCTTTTTTTTTTTTTAGTGGATATTGCCATTTTTGGAAATCCTGTCTAGGTTCAAAGGCAATGAAGCATTCTCAAGCATAAACAGATGAAACCAGGATACATTAGCCCTTATTCAGACAAGTTCTGGAACTCCACCCATCAAACAATAACAACCAGAACATTCTTCAACTACTTCTATTTGTTTAGGGCACCATAACCTAGATCCTTTAGCGAGGCTGTGGTGTTCAACACGCCCACCAGGAAACAGGCAGGCAAGGCCAGGAGCTAAGGCTCTCCCCACCAGCTGGACACGGCAGTCCCATTTCCTCTGCAAGTTTTTCGCAAGTGGGGTTCCTACCCACATGTGATAAACAGCTCACCTTGCCAAGCCTGCTAAACCTGCCAGGATCTTTGTTGGACATGGCCCCAGTTCAGGAGAAACCGAGTCAGAGTTAGCAGACGGATATGGTCCTGGAGTGGGTAGGGTCTGCCTGAACATAATCAACAGCAAAGGAAGGGAAGGGTGTGATGGGTTTGGGTGCGTGTGTCCTTTTAGGCGACACTGCCTGGATGATGCCCCACAAAGCTCAGACTACATCAGGGTGGGAGGGGCTACAGCATGTTCCTGAAGAAAACATCAACTGAGGGCTGACTGTGTACTACAAGATATGAAGGCCAGTAGGAAGTTGTCTTTGAGGACATGAAAGGGCCCATGGTGCAGGGGAAGAAAGACCAACAAATGACATTTACAGAATAAATCACCCTACTAAATCTCTGATCTATCCTCTGCTTGTCTATTTGCATTTTAGGGAACCTGGATGGCTCAGTCAGTTAAGTGTCTGCCTTCGGCTCAGGTTATGATCCTGAAGCCTGGGATGGAGCCCCATATTGGGCTCCCTCCTCAGCAGGGAGCCTGCTTCTCCGTCTCCCTTTGCCCCTGTTCTCTCTAATAAAGAAAGAAAATCTTAAAAAAAAAAAGTGGCATTTTATGCAACTGTTTCTGGGGAGCAGTGGCTTGCTTCATGAACAAGGTGAAAGGCAGATGCCAGGTTTCTGTACCAATGCTGGAGCCAGTGACAAGTGAGTTTCTAAGTTCTGTGGTTGCACTCAGGCTGGGGTAGAGCTGGCCTAAGTCCAAGGATGGTGAAGGCCACACAGGCAAGCACCAATGACTGGAGGGAAGGGTGGGCCCTCTATGTTGGCTGGTGCCATCCTGACAGGGCCCACTTGTAGTGGGAGGACTCTGAAGAGAGCAGGGAAGGGCAGAGGTGGGTCAGCCAAGTGGTGCTGACCATGATCAGGGATCCGAGGGACAGGGACAGAGGCTGAGGCCACTTACGTGGATAGAATTTCAGAGGGAAGGTCAGTGATGTAAGAAGGGATCTTGCGCCCAGTCAGGAACTGTGCCACTTCATTGGTGAAGGTATTACAGTTGTTTTCAAAGATGTTGTAGGCCTCTCTCCTATACATTGTGGAAAAGGTATGGGGAACAGGTCAGAGGGGCAGCGAACCATATGTGGGATAAGTCAAACCCAGTAATGGCGTGGTGAGCACAGCTGAGTACGAGGGCTAGCATTTTCCTTCTCTCTTACACTCCAAAAGGACTGCTGGATTTGCCGCTCTGGACCGTAAGACACCGATTTTGTAAGGGAAGGATGGAATCAAAATATATGGCTCCTTTGCGGTCTCAGGAAAATCTTTACATTCACAGAAGCAGAGCTTGAGGGTTAGAGTTGAACACTACTACGACTGTCTAAAGCTTCTCAAAAGAAGAGAAAACCCGCTCAAGTTCACATATCACCCCGACCCCTCCGCAAACCCCGTTTTTGAGAGCTCTTACCGTGGCAGGGCTGCCTTTTCTCCATATCTATTCAACAAATACTGGGCCAGACCTTGTGCTGAGTGCTCTAGGGGATGTGACCTGGTGGCTGCCCTCTGGGGCCAATCATCTAGTGGGGGGACAGACACGACTAACCACCACCCATGTCTCCACTCACCGGAACAGAGACTCCCCCAGGGAGGACAGGTACTCCTGAAAGAGTTCTTCTGTGACTTCTGTGCTCCCCACATCAACCACAGAATCTGGGGGCCCAAGCAATGTCCCTCCCTAAAAGAGCCAACCCAAAGAAAGTCATTAAGTCACCATCTCCACTGAATTTTTTCATGTGGCTTCCCATGGAAGACCACAAACGCTCTGCTCCAACGTTTATCTTTCAGAGCACCCAGGGCAGATGAGAGGGCTAGTTGCTATTTGTATCAAGCAATTGCCACATGCTGGCAACATGGCTAAAAAAAGCTGGGCTACTTGTTTCTGGTGGGGCCCTGGGAAGCTGAGTCTCTGGCTGGTCAGACCCCTGAAGCTGTCTACTCATCTGGTTAAGAAAAAACATAGAAATCCAGAACCTGAAGTCTCCCTTTGTCCGCAATGTGGCTGATCCCAAGGGCACAACAAGATAACCAGAAATGGTTAGTGCTCGACAGGCCAGCTTTCTATGCCTGTATTTAAGTGGATGCAGCCAGTTTTTCCTTGTGACACACTTGATGTTCCTTCTAAGACTGGGAAAATGTGAAGGACTCTGAGAAATCAGGCAGGCTGGCAAATACTTCCATAATTCAGTTCTATTTTGATCTGTGAGTCTAATCTAACAATGGTGATAGGGTTCCCCAGGCAAGGACTTAATGGCCCATGAAAGGCCTATAGAAATCCTTGAGTTAACAGACTGCCATAGCAGATCAAAGGAGAGACTGAGGCCAAGGGGGAACCAGCCAAGGGTGAAGCAACAGATCACTGGGGAGGACAGAGCTGGGAATGAGCTGGGGGATAAGGGAGAGCACTCCTTGAGCAGAGCTCCTGAAAAGATCAATCATTCATGCAATAATTATTGAGCACCTACTGTGTGCCTAACATTGTTCTAGGCACTGGGGAAAGCATGGTGAGCAGGATAATTAAGATAGTTCAAGAATAGTGGGCTCAGAATTATAAGAGACTGAAAGGTCACTAGTCGACCCCCTATTATTTACCCACAACAAACATGCATTGAGACTATGTGCTAGGCCTTACGCTAGACACTGGGGTATGATATGGACAAAATAGATGAGATCCTTGCCCTTGTGAAGCTTATAGTCTAGCGGGGATGGCAGACAAAAAAATCCCATAAACCAATGCATAATTATGAGTTGCAATGAGGGTCTTGCTGGAAAAGTTCAGAATGCCATCAGTACGTATGACAGGGGACCTTTCTGGTCTGAGGGGTCTGGGAAGACTTGCCTGAGAAATTGACACTGAGCTCAATCTGAAGGATGGAGAGGCAGAACCAGGTCAAGGATCAGGGAGGTGGACTGAAGTGAGAGGGTAGGTTTCAATGTCCACGGAATGTTCTAGGAAGGAGAAGGGTGTGGGAGTGGGGAAAGGCAAAACCTGAAAAGAGGTCAGTCAGAGAGGGAGACCGAGACCAGATCAGATGGGGCCCGGGGGCCAGGCTGAGCTTGCTAGGTTTTATTCCAAGAGCAGTGGGGAAGAGTTCTGACTGAAGCAGGGGAATACCATGGTCAGTTTTTCATTTTGAAAAAGATCACTTCGGGGGCAGCCCGGGTGGCTTAGCAGTTTAGCATAGGCTTTGGCCCAGGATGTGATCCTGGAGACCTGGGATCGAGTCCCACGTCAGGCTCCCTGTATGGAGCCTGCTTCTCCCTCTGCCTGTGTCTCTGCCTCTCTCTCTCTGTATCTCTCATGAATAAATAAATAAAATCTTAAAAAAATTTAAAAAAAAAGAAAAAGATCACTTCGCCTCCCTGTGCAGAGTTCTAAGAAGGAATGATGTATTGCTGCAGTCCACTTGAGATGTGAGAGTGGCATGGATGGAAATATGGGAAGAGATAGAGAAAGACTGATTTAAGGTGCATTTACAAGGCAGAATTGACTGGGCTTCATGAAGGATTTACCAGAAAAGGTAGGGAACCAGTGAGAGGAAGAAACCAAGAATGACTTTCCATTTATGAGTATCAAAATGAGAGCATGGCTTGGTCTCTGGTTGAGCACCTCCTGTGAAAACTCTGATAGCTCAGAGACCAATTTTTTGGAAAGGTGCATGGGCTTTGAGAGACAGAGTCTTGACTTTTAGCACTGGTGCCACTTACTGGCCCTATAACTTGAGGCAACTCACTTTACCTCTCAGAACTCTCCTCCTTTGGCTGAACATTGGCTGAGTTCATTCTATGAGCTAGGCTCGGAGCTGGTGATAGGGCAGAGAGCAAGACATAGTCTCAGCTCACAAGGAGCTTCCACATAGCTCCCTACAGAGACTCAGGAGCAGCTGATCTACTGTATCACAGACAGTGTGACCCAGAGGGACCCACACATGCTGAGGGAACACAGAAGAGGCTTGGGAAGGGTGTTCTTGAGTTGAGTTTAAAGTAGTTATGAGGAACTATGCCATAGGTTGACATCCACTGGGCTAGAAGCCAGACATACAGAGTGGTAGCAAAGTTCCTGGTCTATGGGAACCCCAGGAACCTTGGGGAAGGGTGTGGGGGGAAGTCACTCACTGGGGGACAGCTGGAGATACCACCACTGCCGAAGTAGAACTCATCCTTGTGTACCACTATGGAGGTGTGCCTGTAATGCAGAGAAGAGATAGGAGAAGTCAGAACTCTTAAAACTGGTCTGAGAAAAAGCAAATACCACCTTGCAAAGAGAGTAATTTCTACCCAAAGATAGGGCTTACAAGGTCAATAACTTATATAACTAACCAAAGGCATAAATATCATAGATTCAGTTTCTCAACTTTGGCATCATTAACATTTGGGGCTGGAGAATTCTTGGCTGGGGGGCTGTGCTGTGTATTCTAGGCAGTTTAGCAGGATTGTGCCCCCCTACATCCCCATACCCACCTCTTCAGTTGTGACAACCAGACACTACTGAATGTCCCTGGGGGCAGAACTGTCCTCCTTGAGCTTTAGGTCATGTCAGCAGAGGGGAGGCCCTATAATCACTCTGATACTGACAAACCTATAGCAGAATAAAGCTCTGTAGACCAAGGTGTGTTCCCAGGCTTTTAAAACTAACAGGAGCAGTCAACCTGGACCATGCTGAGGGCAAGACCAGATGATAAGCAAAAGTGCTCATATTACTTGGTTTGAGTCAAACAAAGCAAAGGATCATTCTGGTCATCCCAGATGTCAGCAGGCTCTAGGAGTCCAGAAGGAATACTGACCTATGGTTTCCTCATTAATGGAACTGAGAGCTCAGCCACCATCTTGTCTGACAGGGATGGATCCAGGACAGAGAGACCAAAGTAGATGTGTTTTAAGACAGTCATGTGGGACCCTTGAGACTTCTGTAGTTAGAAAGCTTGGTTAGGGGTGGGCATGACATCATTCTGCCTTTCTTTAGGGCAGGTTTTATCAACCTCAGCACTAGTGCCATTCTTTGTTATGAAGGGCTGTCCTGTGCATGGTTAGGATATTTATAGCAGCATCTCTGGCCACCACCCACCCATCAAAAATATCTCTAGACACTGCCAAATGTCCCTGGGGTGGGAGGTCAGGGCACAAAACTCCTGGTTGAGAACCACTGCTTTAGAACTTGTAAGTTTTGGGCAGCCCCGGTGGCACAGGGGTTTAGCACCGCCTACAGCCCGGGGCGTGGTCCTGGAGACCCGGGATCGAGTTCCACCTGTGTCTCTGCCTCTCTCTCTCATTCTCTCTCTCTCTCTCTCTCTCTCTCTCTGTCTCTATGAATAAATAAAATAAAATCTTTAAAAAAATTAAAAAAAAAAGAGAGAACTTGTAAGTTTTATGATACAGAGAGCTGGGTTTCAAGCTGGAAGCCACAGTCTGGAACCTGAAGTGCACAGGTACAGCTTTGTTTCATAAACCAGCCAATCAACATAAGGAGTCCCACCCAACTTACCAGATGCCTTCCAGTTGTTTCCCTGTGGAGAAAAGAAGAGATTTAGCCACTTGGAACCAGACTAAATGGCTTCCCCGCATGAGTAAATTCAGAACATGGCTTAACATCCCAGAGTAACCTGGAATGGGGGGACCTGGGGGGGGCACAGTTGGTTAAGCATCTGACTCTTGGTTTCAGCTCAGGTCATGATCTCAGGGTCATGGGATTGAGCTCTTTGCTCAGCTTGGGGTCTGCTTAACATTCTCTCTCCCTTTGCCCTTCCCCCCTGTTTGGACTTTCCCTGAAATAATCTTAAAAAAAAAAAAAAGAGTAACTCATCATAAACCTCTTGGGGCACTTTCTAGGAATGCAATTCTCCTCCAATAAGGTCCTTAGATCCTGATACAGGTATGTTGTGCTGTGTTAAGTAGGTTGAAAAGTGATCAGCATCCATCAGAATGCAACATAAAAAAACACTGGTATGGATGTACCCCAATTTTATGTCTGCTTTTCTTTCCCCTTCAGGGTCAATTTAACTTTGCCTTTTTAATTTGTCTCATATATACAGATAACAGTAGAACAATGGTATAAAAAAGCTATCATCCACTTCTTCATTGAGCATAGGTGAGATCCTTCAGGAAATGACAAAGCAAAACCTAACAAATGCCATCCACCTGAATAGTCAATGCAAATATATTTTATATCTCCATATGGGTAGAAATGGTATTAGGTATGGAAATGAAAATAGGAAAATATGAAGAGATCACTGTCTTGCCTTTAAGAAGCCCAAAGTCAAATGGAAAGAGAGACATACATCGCTTTTTGGCCTTTGGGCTAAGATCAAGTGAAAGACACACATAGCTAAGTAAAATACAATGTTGATAGGCTCTAATCATAGAGTGGTGGAAAACTACACAGTGGTAAAAATAAGATGCTAACTATGATAAAGATAAGGAACTACCTTTACAAGCTGCAATTCAACCAGGGAACAAGTACAGGCAGGAATGGACGTTTCTGCTAGAAGGAATAGTATGTGCGAACACACAGGTGGGATAAAGAAAGGTTAGAGAAAAGCGTACAGTGATGGTGATCACTGGAGGAAAAGCGGCCAGCAGGTGCCCTGGCAAAAATAGGGTCAGCTTGGACAGAAGGCTGCCCTAAACTCTGGGGGCCTTCTTGGTTCCTAGATGGTAGAGTGCCTTGATCAGAGCCACGTTTTTAAAAGACACCTATGTCTTTTAAAAGAGAACTGTAGGGATCCCTGGGTGGCTCAGTGGTTTCGCGCCTGCCTTTGGCCCAGGGTGCAAACCTGGAGTCCTGGGATCGAGTCCTGCGTCGGGCTCCCGGCATGTAGCCTGTTTCTCCCTCTGCCTGTGTCTCTGCCTCTCTCTCTTTCTCTCTCTCTCATAAATAAATAAAAATAAATCTTAAAAAAAATAAAATAAAATAAAAGAGAACTGTAGGGGAGCCTGGATGGCTCAGTTAGTTGTCTACCTTTGGGTTCAGGTCATGATTCCAGAGTCCCAGGATCGAGCCCTGCATTGGGCTCCCTGTTCAGCGAGGAGTCTGCTTCTCCCTCTGCCCCTCACCCTATTCTCATGCTCTCACTCTCTCACAATAAATAAAATCTTAAAAAGAGAGAGAGAGAGAGAGAGAGAGGAGAGAGGGAACCGTAGGTGAAGAGGAACGGGAGGGCGGACAATAGAGACAGCAGACTGAGTGAAGTCTGTGCAGTAGTCAATGGGAGATACTATATGCCAGTGTTAAGGATGACAAGGAAGGGCAGTGAAAGATGCGAGAACGTTATCAGACATTACTCACTTGCCTTTGCCTATAACTTCATGTTAACAATTACTGATTGCTAAACGTTGCTTTCAGTATCTGCCCGGTGACTTTCTAAAGGATGAAATTCTAAGTACCGTGTGAAAGAAAGGGGATATGCTTCCTTTGCATAAACCACTCTAGTTATTCTGTAATTTACCTAGGAAATAAATGGAATGAGTATCTTGCTCCTTTAAGAAAACTTTGTAATGAGATAACATTTAACCTAATTCTTTTTTTGGAAGAGACAAAAGAGACCATGGCCCCTCCATGATGACCCACTGATGGCTGCTTACAGTGTCATCAGAGGCAGCTAAGAATATGACAAATTCAGACCCTCATTTCTCCTCTTGCTAGCAGCAGATCCTGGGCAAGTTTACTCAAGCTCTTTGAACCTCAGTTTCTTCAATAGAGACTTATGACCACAAACAATAATGTATATAAAGCATCACAGTGTGGGGGCAACCTGGCTGGCTCAGTCAGTGGAGCTTGAGACTCTTGATCTCAGGGTTGTGAGTTTGAGCCCCCACTGGGTATAAAGCTTACTTAAAAAATAAGAATAGGGCAGCCCCGGTGGCTCAGGAGTTTAGCGCCGCCTTCAGTCCCGAGCGTGATCCTGGAGTCCTGGGATCAAGTCCCATGTCGGGCTCCCTGCGTGAAACCTGCTTCTCGCTGCCTGTGTCTCTGCCTCTCTCTTTCTGTGTCTCTCATGAATAAATAAATAAAATCTTAAAAAAATAAATAAAAAATAAAGGGGCACCTGGGGGGCTCAGCCAGTTAAGTGTCCAACTTTTTTTTTTAAAGATTTTATTTATTTATTCATGAGACACATAGAGAGGCAGAGACACAGGCAGAGGGAGAAGCAGGCTCCATGCAGGGAGCCTGACGTGGGACTTGATACTGGGTCTCCAGGATCACGCCCTGGGCTGAAGGTGGCACTAAACCCTGACCACCCAGGCTGCCCAAGTGTCCAACTCTTAACTTCGGCTCAGGTCATGATCTCAGGGTCTTGAGATCGAGCCCTGCATTGGGCTCTGTGCTCAGTGGGGAGTCTGCTTAAGATTCTCTCTCCTTGGGGATCTCTGGGTGGCTCAGTAGTTTAGAGCCTGCCTCTGGCCCAGGACATGATCCTGGGGTCCAGGGATCGAGTCCCACATCGGGCTCCCTGCATGGAGCCTGCTTCTTCTCCCTCTGCCTGTATCTCTGCCCCTCTCTCTCTGTGTCTCTCATGAATAAATAAATAAAATATTAAAAAAAAAAAAAAAAGATTCTCTCTCCCTCTGCTCCTCTTCCCCTCTTCCAAAAGTAAGATAAAATAAAGCATCACAGTGTGTGGTACCCAGAAGTTTGATAAATGGAGACTATATTAGGTATAATGGCCTTGGGGAAAAGGGTATAAAGACCTCCAAAAAATAAATTTTACCTCAGGATTGGTGGTAAGATCTAAGAAGAGATTTCAGTACCTAGGGAATTAATATGAAATACTGTGTCTATTTTACATATAAATGTTTCAACTCTGTGTTTGTGTTGCTAGGCTAAATGAAATAACAAGGAGAATAAAATGTAGCTGAGTTTTGTCCTCCAGTTAGGAGACGGGTGTGCTTTTCACTAAAAGACTTGCTACTTTGACTGACAAGGTCACAAATGGACAGAGGGGTTCTGGACTGGGGTTTCTGGGATAGCCCCCAAAAGACTATGGGGCAAGCTCTGCCCTCATCCAAAATGAGCGGAAATTCCACAGAAGTGGATAAGAAGAAACACACTGGATGCTGAAGGGGAATGGTAACCCATTTAGGACAAGCATCTTCAAATGTGGATCGAGCAGACTTACATCCTTTCTTAATCTGAACTCTCCTTCACAGTTATCCTATTCTCACAACATCCTCGTGTAGTAGAGTAGGGCAAATGTTTATATTTATTAACATCATTTTACAAACAGGTAAATAAAGATGCGTGGTTGGTCCGGCATAGAAGCAAGAAAGAAAAACACAATATGAGGCGATATCCATTTTCCACAAGTTTTCAACTCTAGAAAGTAGTGACTATTAGCTTTGACAATCCTTGCATTACTTTTGCAAAAGGCATAAAAAGCAATATGGGAAAAAAGGGATAGAGAAGAGAGAATTAGATTTGCAGGCAAGGTGATGTTCTCAGAAATGCCATTGTGGTCAGATGTGCCAAACTGGTAAAGTTCCCATTTTTGGCTGAGGTGCTTTTAGGATTTTACACCTTTTTTTTAAAAAGAGGGAGGAGGCAGGTCCAGCCACTCCACCTTCAGTTATGGCACTGTTCCCTTCACCCATGATATTCCACAAGGGCCTTCTTTCAGTTCCAGGATAAGACCAGGCTCTATCCTACCTCAGGGCCTTGGTAGATTGATCCCCCTTATGTTTAGGACACTATAACTTCCTTACCACCCTCCTTGTGACACCTTCTTCATCCTTAAATTCCCAACTTAAGTCACACTGCTTCTGATACCCTTATTTAAAGTTAGGTTTCTCTTGTTACTTTTTATCTCAGCACCCTGATTGCTTCTTGCACAGCCTAGCACTTATCACGATTATTATTTGAAATAATTTAAATAATTCTTTTCTTTGCCTATTTTTAATATTTTCCCCAGGAACCAGCTCCATGATGGTAGTGAACATCTTCGCTCAATATATTGTCCTCAGTTAAGCTTAACACATGGACTAGCACATAGTAGGCACTCAAAAAAAAAAAACCAACCTGTTGATTGAATCATGAAGCAGTGAGCCCTAAGGGCAATTGTGGCTATGATCAAACTAACCAAATAATGGCTCCGTTCCAAGAAGTTTAGTTAAAACTTGACTGATGTAGTCTGTGTAGTGTTAGTCACCTTCCTCGGTGACTTTGTAAGTTTTACTTTCAGCTTTACCTTACTCATTTTAACAACTGGATGATCTAGGCCCAAACTTCTAGCCAACAACAGATTGGCTACATAGCAATTATCTGAAGAGCTTATTAAAAATACAGATTTTTTTGGATCAAAACCCCAGGAGACTCTTATTTACTACTTGTGTGATGAAGCTCTGGAATCTGTATAATTAAAATGTTCTTATTTTGAGTAGATAACATATGGGTAGTACACCATTCAAAAGGTACAAACGAGTTTATAGTGAGTCTCCCCTCTATTCCTGCCCTCTGGCATCAAGTTTTCCTTTCTGTAAGTTACCACTGTTTCAATTTCTTAAGTATTCTTCTAGATTAATTATCTGCCTACATGAGCATGTATACATCCTTTGCTTCAAACACACCTTAATATTTAAAGAACTGCTCCAACTTTGTTTTCTCTATTTCCATCGAACAAAACTCGTTGAAAGTTATCTGTATTTTTAACAAGCATCCCAGGTGATTCTGATGTGAAGCCAATATGAGCAACCATTCACTGGCCCAGGGTTAAGAGATTTAAGTTTAATCGACTATGATACATCAGAAACTCAAAAACACTGAAAAGGTGCTTTCCAAAGTAGCCTTGCTTACTCACTCGACTTCTGCCCTCTTGTCTTACCGAGATGAACTAAAACATTCTCTACGGCGCCCATAAAAGCCAGGAAAAACTAGCCATTCAAACGGATGTTGCCAAAGCTGTTCACTTTTTCAATTCCTGGAATCTTTTCCTGCCCAATACCACCTGAAATAAATCACAAACTCGGCAATTTCTATGTTAGGTGAGACATTTTGGTACTTGGGTTACAATGAGGTTTGATGTGCAGTGAACGAGGGCTGGTTTTCTCTCCCGGCAGTTAAGTAGTTTCACGGAGCACCACCGATCTACTACTTCCTCTACTAATCCTTACCGACACAACAGTATCCGATCCTCCTCTCAAATTGCTTTCTAACCATCTGGGCAAAAGCAATGAGCTTAGAGCCCGTGGGGAAGACCGCATTGTCAGGGCAGAAGTTGATGAATCCTGGAGTTCCGGCTCCAGCCGACCTGGCTTCACCTCCACCTGGGAGCAGTGCCTGGGCCCCCGTGCGGCTCTGGCTTCCTATTCCCGTCCACCCCGGGGACTGCAAAAGAGTTTCCTTTTCGCACCGAGGGAAGGCTCTCCAAGGGCCACCCGGGGAATCTCCTCCGCAGGGTCCCTTTCACCACGCGGGGCACCGCGCGGCAGGCAACCTCCCCTCCCCTACGCTGCGCGGAGGAAGGAGTGTAAAGAGCTCCCCGCGGAAGGCAGGGGAGCCTCCGGGATGCAGCGCCGGTTCACCCGGCCGCGCGGAGTGGGCAGCGGGAGGGCGTGACTCCTCCATCCCTTCCTCCTGGATTCACAACGTGAGGTCGGTAAAGTGGGGCTCCAGGCGCCCGAGCCCCCGACCTCTCCCTTCTCCAGTCGCGCTCTCCTCCATCCTCCGGGCCCCGCGTCTCTCCCGGAGCCGTGGTCCAGGCCTCCCTACCTCTGCCGGGCGTCCCGGCACCCTCTCGCCCGCCCCCAGCCCCCTCACCCAGCATGATGGGGCTGAGCCGCCGGGCCAGGCCCTTGGACAGGTCGTACACGTAGAGCTTCACCGGATAGAGATTCGGCGGCTCCATCGGGACCCGTGGCGGCGGCGGCCACGAAGTCCCTCAGGCACCCGGCAGCGGCTTGGACCTTCCCGTACCCGACGGGGGTGGGGAGCGGAGGGAGCGGGGCGGGGACCGAGCCCAGGCCCGGCCTGAGGGGCGGGGGAGAGGCGGCCCTGCGCTGCACGCGCCCCCGCACCCGCCACCGGCAACGACTACTGTGAGGTGACAGAGCGGGGACGGGCAGGGTCCGCGCGGAAGAGAGGGCGGGGGCGGGGACGCACTCTTGCGCATGTGCCTACCGTCCCGGCGGGCGGCGAGGGGCGGGGTTTCGCGGATGGGGTCGGGTTAGTAAGAGACCGTGGAGGAAAGCGAGTGGCGGGAGTGGGCGTGTCGGCTTGAGGAGGGACGTGCGCACTGTGCGTGATGACGTAAAGGACGCTGATTGGGAGCGAGCGCTGGAGCCTGTGCGTGCGCGGCGCCCCGCCTCTGTCCAAATTGATCTCTTCCTTGTGCCTCAGGTAGGCAGGTGCGGGCTGTTTGGTGTGCCCCTTGCTTTCCGGTCGGGGCTGGCCTCCGCCTGCTTCGCTCACTGACTCTTGCGCGTCCCTCCAAGGCTCCCCGGGGGGCAGCGTCAGCACAAGGGGTGCGGACCCGCGGGGTAGACATAGTTTCTGGTCCCCGTTCCCTCTTCCGTGGGAGGCGGCCGCTGGCCTTGAGGCCAGCCTCTGTGTGAGACCCCGCGGGGCGTGGCTGGCGGAGGAGTGGGGGAAAGTTCTGGGGCGGGATGAGCAGTACTGTGGGTCCGCTAGAGGACTGAGTACCCTGGAGCAGGAATCCCGTGGGTTCAGAGGGTGCCGGAGGCCGGACGGGACCTCCAGGTGTGGGCTGCCTCGGAATCCCAGTCCGAGGGCCATCAGCGGCCCTGAAGCGGCCCTAACTAGGGGGTAGCCGAGGGGAGGCTGCTGCTACAGTGATGCCCGTGACCGTATACTAATGCGTCGTAATTACGACGAGCTATGGAGGCAGTAAGATCCAGCATCCACATTCCTCACGAGTGACCTCCAGACTTAAGGGAGGATTTCAAAGGAGCCTAGGCGTCGATATTTTTTAGGTTTGAATTTGCTTCTCACTGATCATAACTTTCTTTCACTTAGTGAGCAATAAACAATATGTCAGGCTGGGAGTCTTATTACAAAAACGAGGGCGATGAAGAAGAAGAGCAAGAAGACGGCCTTGAAGCCGGTGGTAAGTTACACTGACGGATGCTGTTCTGTGTTAAGGACTTTCCCTGTCTCTGCTGCCCAATGGCTTACTCTTCTCTCTTCAGAGAATCTCAAATGCTATTCTCCCTTTGAACTTTGCAGCGCTACCCTAGGCTCTTTTATTTAAGTCCTGGGTAAGAACATTTTAAGTGTTCTTACTAAAAGTGAGAAACATAGGAGATACGTAACATAAAAGGGAAAATTTATTGAAATCTATATAATCTACCAGCCTAGGCAGCCCGTTTGGCGCAGCAGTTTAGCGCCGCCTGCAGCCTGGGTGTGATCCTGGAGACCCGGGGTCGAGTCCCACTTCGGGCTCCCTGCATGGAGCCTGCTTCTCCCTCTGCCTGTGTCTCTGCCTCTCTCTCTCTCTCAGTGTCTCTATGAATAAATAAATAAAATCTTTAAAATAATAATAATCTACTAGCCTAATACAGCCATTACCATCATTTTGGCATTTTGCATTTTTCCTTCACAGATCTTTCATTCTGATATTTCTTAACTATGTATGTCTGTTTTTCTTTGGTTCTGATTTTTTTTTTAATTTATTTGATAGTCACAGAGAGAGAGAGAGAGAGAGGCAGAGACACAGACAGAGGGAGAAGCAGGCCCCATGCACCGGGAGCCCGACGTGGGATTCGATCCCGGGTCTCCAGGATCGCACCCTGGGCCAAAGGCAGGCGCCAAACCGCTGCGCCACCCAGGGATCCCGGTTCTGATTTTTTTATAGTTAATCATAGTGAATATATATCTTTTCATTTTAATTTACAACAGTTTTCTTCCAAAAATATGTTTTTTAAAGATTTTATTTGAGAGAGACAGAGCATGAACAGTGGGGAGGAGGCAGAGGGAGCAAGAGAAGTAGACTCCCCACTGAGTAGGGATCCCAACTTGGGATTCAATTCCAGGACCCTGAGGTCATGACTTGAGCAGAAGGCAGATGCTTAATTGAGCCACCCAGGTACCCCACAAAAAAGAATTTTAAACATACATGCATAATTTTGTGTTCTGCCTTTTTTCCTTAATGTATTATAGATATATTTTCCCTTGTAACTACATTTATGTTGTCTTTATAACTCATTTTAAGGTAGTGTAATTTATTCAGTCTACCTGCCATTGGACATTTTAGTTATTTTCAATTTCTTACTTTAATGAACAACATTGTGGGAAATTTTGCATAAGGCGTTTCCCATATCTAATGTTCCTTTTAGATTGCTAAGAGGTAGAATTCACTGGGTCAAGATAGAATTTTTGTTTAGGGCTCTTGACCTATAATCGCTGTATTGTTTTACAGATGGGTAATTACATATATTGTATTAGAAAGCAGCAGTGTGAAAAAAAAGGGAGATAAACCAGACATTTTAGTGTTTTTATAAAAAACTCAGCATGACCTATGATGCCAGAAAGGAAAAAAGAATACCTGAATCTGATGAAGCCTCTGTACGCCCTCAGTAAGAAAGAACAGGATTATGTCAGTCTACACCAAAAGAATGCAGTCAGTAAAATCCAGATGCTGAAAAACTGTACATAAATAACACAACATTCTGATTCTTCAATGAATAAGATATAAGACAAAGATGGAGGGGGTATCTATAGATTAAGAGGCTTCAAACACTTTTTTTTTTTTTTTTTTTTTAGGTAGGCTCCATGACCAATGTGGAGCTCAACTTGGGGCTTGAACTCATGACCTTGAAATCAAGACCTGAGCTGAGATCAAGAGTCAGATGCTTAACTGACTATGCCATCCAGGCGCCCCCAAAGATACATATTTTTTTAAGTCAAAACTAGTGTTTAGGAATGTTCACTTGAATGATAAAACTGTAAATAAGGAAATGATTATTAAAAATCAGGATAGTGGTTATTCCTGGGAAGAGGGGTGGGCGTTATAATTGGCATGGCTTTTATCGATTTGTTTTATATGAATAATAAACATGATAAATATGAACTCAAGGGCAAACATTTTCTTCTGTTTTTTCCCCCATAGGAGAATATACATATTCAGGAAGAGATAGTTTGATTTTTTTGGTTGATGGTTCTAGGGCCATGTTTGAATCTCAGGGTGAAGTTGAACTGACTCCTTTTGACATGAGCATCCAGGTAAGACCACCTGGATAGTAGGGTGGGAGGTATCATCATGGTTGCTTTATTTCTCAGCTTTGCAGATTCAGAAACTTGATGTTGTCAGTGGCCCCCAGAATTAAGTAGATCACAGGACTGAGCAGCTCTTCTGAGACACTGATTTACCAGATGCTGACATTACTTTAAATGGGTAGACAGGATTTTCCTGGAATACTGACATCTATAATTGTGTAATTAAGCAAATTTTATTCCAAAACATACAGAAAAAAAAAAAGGTGCTGTTAGCAGTTATGGACTTATTGTTGGGTCACATCTCCTTATTGTTAGCTTAAACCTTTCACTTATGTAATTACATATGTTTCTTGGTATCAGGCTACTTGGGGGAAGATCAAGTGGCCTGTCCGAACTCGGTCAATTAAGTATATGACATGAAGGGGACGCAAATCCAGGTTTTCTGATTCTAGTACTGGGCTGTTTTCCCCTCTTATAGAAGAATGTCCTTCCTGAGTAACGTGTTTTTAATTCCCTGATTTCTTATGACAAGAACTACTTATACTTCCATTATACACTTAACTCACTCTGCCTTTTATTATATTATAGTATATATGCCCGTCCCTCTCACTGATTCCTGACTTTCCTCAAGGTAGGGGTCATGCCTTAATCTGATGCCATGTACAAATTCAGCAAATATATTAAGGTTCTACTATGTGCCAGGCACTTATGGAATTTAAGTTTAGTGATAAGTTAAATATTAATTGAATTTTTATTTTGATTTTTGTTAGTGTATCCAGAGTGTGTATACCAATAAGATCATAAGCAGTAATCAAGATCTCTTGGCAGTGGTGTTCTATGGTACTGAGAAGGATAAAAATTCAGTGAATTTCAAAAATATTTACGTCTTACAGGAGTTGGATAATCCAGGTCAGTAGTAGTTTAAGATCCACTTTTCCCTTACATTGGAAGGTCACGACCCTGAACAAAGAGGGATGTGGGAAAGGAAGTAGATGACCTCTTGACTAAGTGTATGCTTTCCTGCACAAGGGGGTTCTTCCTGGGATGTGGACCTTATGGGTTAAACACCTCTGGGGTAGAACGGGACCCTAGGCTCTTCTGTTAGCCTTATAAAAGAAGCACTGACGCAGTTATGATTTTTCTGCCCATTTGACTTCCTGTCTCTGACCAGGTGCTAAACGAGTGCTTGAACTTGACCAGTTTAAGGGGGAGCGGGGGAAAAAACATTTCCAAGACCTAATTGGCCATGGATCTGACTACTCACTGAGTGAGGTGCTGTGGGTCTGTGCCAACCTCTTTAGCGATGTCCAGGTTAAGATGAGCCATAAGAGGATCATGCTGTTCACCAATGAAGATGACCCCCATGGCAATGACAGTGCCAAAGCTAGCAGGGCCAGGACCAAAGCTGGGGATCTCCGTGACACAGGTTGGCATTTTCCCTGTTCTTTTACATGGGCGCTGAATCTTATTGCTTCTTTCTTTTTATTTTGTTTTTTAAAGATTTTATTTATTCACGAGATAAATAGAAAGGCAGGTTCCCTGCAGGGAGCCTGATGCAGAACTCAATCCCAGGACCCTGGGATCATGACCTGAGCCGAAGGCAGATGCTCAACCACTGAGCCACCCCAGTGTCCCTAATTGCTTCTTTATAGTCAAACATTTGCTTTTCTCCATTCAGAATGAAATGAAAGAATAAAATGAAGCTGGGGCAGACACCTGTGTTATATTCCTAATGAAAATGATGAGGCCATTCACTTTCTTTCTTTTTTTATATTTATTTATTTATTTATTTATTTATTTATTTATTTATTTATTTATTTATTTATTTATTTATTTTAGAGGGAGAGCAAGAGTGTGCGTGTATACTAGTAGAGGGAGGGGCAGAGGGAAAGAATCCCAAACT